CGTGTGTGTGTGTGTACGTGTGTGTACGTGTGTGTGTGGGGGGGGGAGTGGTGGTGTAGCGGTGAGCGCACTGCACTATGAACTCAGCCACCCGAGTTCGATTCCAGGCCAACACCGGTGACGATTATCTGAACCGGTCCTGGGCCTCTCTTAGGTCGCCTCAGCTTCAAATAAGTACCTGGCGCGGTGTGTAAATATCGCCATTGGGGAGACAAAGGCGGTCGGGCGTGGTCCTGGCCACCCACCCCCTCGTGTACCGTTTCGGCCTTCATAGATGCTCGCTAATAGCACTTGCACCTACTGTATGTTAAGGCTAAACGGGGGATCTTTGTCTTTGTCTTGTGTGTACAACTGCTTTCTCGCTTACGTGTGAGGATGTTCTTGTGCCATTTCATTTAAATGTTGTTTTATTTAATACTCTTTTCCCAGATGACTAAATCCAGTCTGGATACATGCTAAGTGGGTTTTAACGAAACCCTCTTTAAAGTAGACATTAAAAGCAACATAATTCTCTCCCATAATCAAACTCTTCCCGCACTCACTTCATGATTTAAAAAAAATCCCATCGGTGATCTATCGTATTTGTAGTGATCTTTCACTTTTAGATTATAAATTCACATTTTCCGAACCTTGGCCATTACAAAACCCTAACCCTACTTGAACACTGGGCATCACCAATGGGTTGATAGAGTGTCAGTGGTCTGTGCCCAGCGGTATGAACCCGGCGACCTGAGTTTGATTCTCAGGCACAGGGTTCCCCCTCCCGCAAAAGGCAACAGACCGGTGTGGTGAAGTATGGTCAAACAAAGCACCCGTGACCAACACGTCATTGGGAAGCCTTCGTTCAGTGTTGTATTGACAAGATACGTCATGTATGACTAATGGAACTCACTTATATTTTAAGTACAATTATTAATACGTTTTGGTTCTTGAAGGGTTTGCCTGCAACTCAATAGCTATCAGTGTACCTATTCGTATGCCTATTTGAAGAAAAAATTGGTCACAAGACCATGTTTTTAATGTAATTCCAATCAGGTCCCATGGTGTGAAGTGCAGTCTCCAACTCTTATTATCCACTCGATCTCTCTGGCCTGTCTGTCTATGTGATTTGAAGGAGGGTCATTGGCAGTAACGTCGCCGATTACATATATACTTTCGTTTAAGGTCACAGAGTATTGTTGACGAGCGTGTGTTGAGTTTTTCTTTATTTTTTCTCTTTCGGGATTGGCAGAGGGCTGTTCCATTCCATTACATACAGCGCACGCGTGCGAAACGGCTCGAAAGGCGAAAGGGAAAAGTATAGGCGTCATGTACAGCAGCCCTGGCGCGTTTCTGAAAATTGATGTTGAGCCCTTGCCTGCCCGACCGCGCGCCTGCCTGCTTGAGTTGTTTTTTAGGCGAGCGAAATAAGAGCGCGGCGAGGTCGCGGGGACGTCCGAGACAGGGCCCTCGACTCTCAAGCCAGCTGCACAGCGCCGTTCTCGCCATTGTAAACAACAACAAAAAATTGGTCCGTGAAAGTGACCTCATCGGCTGCCCCGGCGAATGTACAAGCAAAGCGGCTGATTGGGCGTCTCAGACGCAATTGTGGACGAGGGGGCCCTCGCTTCAACGCTAGGGCTAAACAAATCAACAACTCGCAACCCAAACATGAGCTTGAGCCAGCCAGCCAGCCCTAAGCCGATCTGCCATTACCGCCACGGTGGCACGTGGCGTTTTGGCGTTGTCGTGCCAGCCACATCCACTTACTCGTTAGAGCTGCGGACACGACGCAGCACTACGGAATGACTTCTTTTTCCATTCTGGTCCGTGTGAAATGCTGGAGCGTAAATAATTTTATTCGGTTGACTTCCCAGGAATTGGTTCGTGGGTTTGTACACAGCGTGATGTGTGTGTGTGTACGTACGTACGGACGGCGTTCCAACGTTTAGCTTTACGGGTCGTTTGAACCGCCCATACTAGACGTTTGTGAAAAAGAGCTTCATACCTCATCGAAATTATCCAGTCTAAATACCGATTCTGATTCTGAATCATATGTTGTTAGCGAAAGCATATTAAGGCTGGAAGCGTGCATGCGACGTTGGTGTGGCTGGATGTCCGTTGGGCCAGTGTTGTCTTCCATTATAAGGTCGCACTCAATACACACAAAGTGTTTACATTATGAGACCTCCTTTGCCAGTAACAAGATATAGGAATAGGTTTTACCCTTTTAACTGGCACAAAATGGAGACTAGGCTCTAAGAAAAGCTGTCTCGGGTGTGGACCAATCAAATTCAAGGACAGTGCATATTATTATCAGAGTTGTCTTTTTTGTTTGCATTTTGACTGCTTGTGTTGTGGTTATTGCAAACATGATGCCTTGAATAAAAGTGTCAGTTTTTGTGCCAGTTAAAAGGGTAAAACCTATTCCTACACACAAAGTGCTCGCCACAGACGAACCGCTAAATCTTGATGATCTCAAGGAGCATCGACCATCATGTGAACTCCTGCCATCCTTGCAACAGCGGCTTTTGGCTAACTGTTGAACAAAAACGGTCACCACATCGCGCACTTTCAGATGCGCGTTAATGCGGCCGTCTGGAACGCTCTCCCTTCCTTTATTAAAAAGCCACTGGAGCTACGCACTTTTAAATCTGGATTTCAAACTAATTTCTTTGAAACTGCTTTTGTGTTTAGTTTGTTGTTCTTCCCCGCACCTCCAATGAGCACGGATGGCTACGTGCGGTGCAAAAGAAGTTCAACATACATACATACATGCCGATAAACCTGCAGCTTGTACTCACTTACAAGGCGGAGGCAACCGAGACGAATCGCAAACCAGGCTCGTACACAAGGTGCCACTGATGTCGTGCGCGGCCGGAATTTGAACCTCGCAGTCAACTAACCACTCCAAGCTCAATTCCCATCCCCTATCTGCACCTTAAGACTAAACAAGTAATCGCTTTGAAAACATTAACAATTTAATGTAATCCCTTTAAATCCCAACAATTGCTATAATTTGGAAAGATCCTCTGTTGTGTAAATTATTCAGAATTGTAGGTTTCGGCACCGGCTACTGTATAATCAATTCCCCCCGCCAGGGATAGCCCCTCCCTCCCCCACTCACCCACATCACCCCACCCCCCCCACTTTTATCCACACCTATCATCACCACCGTCCACCAAGATCGAGTGAAACTTAAAGCAACATGTGTTCAGTGTCGATGCCGAGCTGCCGCACTTTGATTTCCTGAAAGAGGCCACTTCTTGTGGCTTAGATCCCGGTAATGGAAGGGATGCCATGAAAAATTCAGCAAAGAGAAAATTCGGCTTGTCACTTGGCGAGGCTCGTTGAGTGCCTGATAATGGTGTTTTCAGTCCGAAAAAAAACTATCCCGAGCTAAAGGCGAGCCCGTATTTGTCACCGCGGTCAGAAGTGAATGCAATTAGCTCCCCACCCCCCCAGTCTCTCACTTTCCCCGGCCGCAATATTCACGACAACGTCACCCCACGCGCGAACCTCCACGGAAGTGACCCCGCAACCCCGTGGCCTTGAAGCTGCAAACAAAAAGAAACCGTGCGCAGAGGCCCCTCGCGACCGAAGCGGCACAGCGCTCCCGATTCCGTTTCCCAGGGATTGAAAGACCGCGTGTGCCGTCCGGCAAGCGATGCCCGACGTGTCGCCCCCTTCTTCGCTTCGGTTCCTGAAGAAGCTGTCAGCACGTGGAGTGAAACGCCGGACGTCGTTGCGAACCACGCGAGGGTTTCAAACCACTCCCCCTCCCACACCCCCCAAAAAACAACGCAAAGCAGAGCTGGGCGACAACTCTGCCCAACGCAACCTTCGTGTCGCTGCATTGTTCCGTTTATTATTGCGCGTTGACATTTTCATCGGTATTATCCCCGTTCAGTCAACACATTGTCGGATAAACTTGCACGCCTATACACCTCTCGATGGCTTTGTTGTATTCTTTGCGCATGACAATACGGTCGGGAGCTCAATGCCAACGTCCAGGCGTGCTGGTCACGAGAGGGCTTCAGGGGAAGAGTTCGGTGTCGTTTTGTTCTTCACCTTCCTCCTCTGTTAAAGGGGCGCAGACTGCAGCGGTCTGCGCTGTGCTTCGTTGGTTGGGTCGCATAGCGACAATCGCACCACTTCAAGTTTCCTTTTATGAAGGACGTGTGCGCATCGGCGTGTTGATGACGTTCTGATGCGGTCGATGGTACCGTAGCTGGGACTACTAAAACGAACTAATTTGTATTTTACCAAGGTAAGGCCCACTGAGCTATGCAGCTCTTTTTTCATAAGCGACCTGGCCAAAAACGATGGCTCAATGAAGTGGACTATGTGGACATTTCTAGCAGCCAGATACTCTAAACGCGTGCTTCTAAATGTGGAGGGAGAAACCGGAGGACCCCGAGAAAAATCCACGCAACGACGGGGAGAACACGCAACTTCGAATTATATAGCAGGCGTCAGGGTTTGGATCGAACCCACGAGCTCCTGTAGACCAGGCGAAGTAGTTAACATCTCCTAGCCACCGTGGCGAGTTAAATCCTTCAAACCTTGACTGCACGGTCGTAGCTTTTACGCAAGTGTGTATGTAACCTTCATGCATGTCGTTCTTACTTGGTTACTCATTCACCCACACATCCGCATTTTTGTTCAACGTGTTGGAAAATCTGAACCAGCATTGGGTCTTATTCCCACGTGCGCAAAACAAATTAAAGTAAAGTGCTCTTCTTACAAGACTACAATAACTTGCGTTTCCAACAAACTTCAACTGACGTTTGGTTTTCGAAACGTAACGTTTTATCGAGGTGGAGCAGTGTGTCGACGTTCAACACTGTTCGCTGCGCTACGAACCCGGCGACCCGAGTTCGAATCCCGCTCACGGCCAACACCAATGACGATTATCTGAACCGGTCCTGGGTCTCCCCCTAGGTCGACTCAGCCTAAAATCAGTACCTAGTACGGTGTGTAGTTAAACATCGCCCCCGGGGAGACAAAGGCGGCCGGGCGTGGTGTTGGCCACCCACCCCCTCGTGTGCCGTGCCGGCCCTTATAGGTGCTCGCTTACAGCACTTGCCCCAAAAGTCTGTTAAGGCTACAGTGTACGGGGGAATCTTTGTCTTTATTATTGTTTCATTGATCAAGTAACTTGTATATCATTTAAATATCATTTTCCGATTCATCTATTCCCCACTTCTATGTGTTTATGGAGATACGTAACCATCAACAACCACACAATCCTGCACGCTTCTTTCTCGAAGGAATTCATCTGTTTTGACATCTTTCAAAAACAGAACAGTAATCCTTTACTTTCACCAGGCGAGGGTCAATTGAATCAACGCGTATGTATGTATGTAGACCTGGTGGTTCGACTAAGAAAACAAATCCTTAGGCCAGTGTCGAGTCGAGAAAAACATTATCACATAAGGGAAAACATATGCGCTAAAGAACACGAGGATAGATTTTCACAACACGTTAAATTGCGATCTCAAACAAAAGGAAACAATAGCAGCTTAATACAAATATAATTAACGAGTTTTTATTTTTTTTGTAAATATATGCACAATATCCAGTCATGTTAAATCAAGCTGTGCTCTCCAGACAAGTTTGAAGGGCAAATCAAAGCGGGGAAAGTGAAAAGCGACGGTGCATAAACAAATCGAGTCGGGGAAAAAACGCACACATAATTTTTTATTTTCCCACGTTTATTAGATTAAGCCAAATCAGGCACAAAAAAAAACCGTTCAGGTCGACGGAGATGCAGATAGATGTATTTGGACAGCAGCGCATGTGCAGTTCGTGCAAGGCTGCTATGTTGTACTGGTCAGGGGTTAGGCCATCTCACCCTTAGTAATAACAACGAGCAATTCAGGGGGGCTCGCTAGTTAGTCCTCACCTCATCAATACATTCCGTTTGTGAATAAATACTCTCCGCGGGATCTGTCAAGCGGATATCAGGGGCCACTCATGGCCCGTGACGTGCGCCTTCTCGCCTCATTTGCACATCAGAGGCTCCCAGAAAGCCTCACATCTCACATCAGAGTCACCTTCCGCAAGCCACAGGCTGCTTCGCCTTCAAACGGGGAGCGCCGGCAGCGGGCGGCGAGGGAAAGGTCAGAGGCCGGCACTCAACCCCCCCCCACCCCCCGAGGCATCTCATATCCATCCCATTTTCATCCTCCATCTCGTCCCTCATTATAGACGCTAGCCGGCGGAAGGGGCTGACAGGAGCGAGCGTCGGACGCGACACACGCACAGACACACACACAGACACACGCAGAGAGAGTGAGTGAGAGGAGCAGGAGCGCGATTGTCAATAATTAAAATCTCCCAGAGATTGAACGTCGTGGGATTCGGCCCAGGTGAAATACGCGGAGGTGTCCGTCAAAGCTACACGGCGTCCGAGTTAGGTTCAACACCCGCGCTGCGCAAACACCGCTCCCCCCAATCCCATCTCCGGCAGTGCCCAACTGCTACGCGCCTCTAAGAGCGGGGCTGCAACAATACACCGGGAAGCGCGGTAACACCGGGCCAGCCACCCTCCCTGGACTCCACGTGACATTCTAACGTGGCAGGTTGAACGTGACAAAGGTACACAGCCACACGTAACAACTGACCCCCGACCGGCGATCTAATTGAACGTTCCAAGTGCCAGGTTTTCCCGAGGCAAGACGGCAGAAGCGCTCCCTCGCAAATAGGTCGAAACCCATTGCCGATACGGACCAAGACAAACGCGTGGCTCAGTCATTAAAGTGTTCTTGAAACGATATGCCCCAGACAAAACGTACGCAGAGTCGTTCTATTCAAACGCATATTATTCATTTCGTCGGCGCACTTACTGAACGTTGTTACTTTATTTGTTTAAACGCACCACTTAAATCAAGTAAAAAGGGATTAAAAATTTAAAACAAGTTCTTTTTTTGTCATAGAATTTTAATGCACAAAAACAGTATGAAGAAAAAAACCACACACACACACTGTGTACGTAAATGTTATCGCTTAATGCAATGCTCTTTATATTAAATCTGGCAACATTCCAGCACATAATTGCCAGAACCGCCTTTATTTATTTACTTAGAGACAGCTCAGTCAGGCAGGAGCCGATGTGGCGATTCACCCACCTGGTGACGATTGGCAGAGGTGATGGCGTGGCTCGCGGAGCTCACCGAAGGCTGTGTCAAGAGCGACGAGCCGTCGTTGCTCTTGCCCAGGCAGACGACTCAGATTCGAGCCAGGTGTTTTCAGGCGTCGAACGAGGCGGGGGGCTCAGCCAGGTCACCGATCACTACGCTAAAAACAACAACAACAACAACAACAAAACTCAACTCATATTGTGAAGCGATGGTACAATTATTAGAGCACTATGTTTGGAACTTGGTGACCTGAGTTTAATTCCAAACCACGGCTAAGATCACTTGGTGAGTGACATCTCATTTAATTCGTACATTTTTTCGTCTAAAAATTGTTTGACATATGAACACTCTTTTTCAGGTCATATAGAAGGTGTGTCCCTGATGTGGATAAAGACACCTATTGAAGTAATTTCAGAAGTAGTTTTATGACATTCTCTTCCAGGACCATTCTATGACACAAGGTGGTGGACTGTGAAAGCCATCAATAGCGAACAAGAAATATTTATCTTATGCTTTGACACCTGAAACCAATATTGTCATTGAATATTGAAAAAGGCAAAAATACCCTCTATCACACAAGACCTACCAGGGTGTCCTTGGGCAAATGCTTCCTTTGGAACATGCAGCTAGCTAGCACTGCTGAGATCTGTGACTGAGAGCACAGTGGGAATAATACTCAGAATTTAAGTGCCTCAAATTTATTTCATTTGCAAATACAATGGTTTATATGAAAGCAATAACAGAATAAATCAAATGGATGCTGCCACAGTGGTGAAATGGCCAGCACACTGGGCTTGCAATCCAGAGGTCACCGGTTCGATCTATACTGTAGGTACGCCAGATGTGACTGGAGAAAGTTTCGGAAATTCTCGAATCTTCGCCCACACGGCGGTATAAATGGGCAAACCACAGGTAGTTGGCAAGTTGCGCGTGGTGGAATAACGAGTGGGTTGCTTCCACCTCTTTCAATCGGCCGAGCCAGCGTGGGAGAGGAACTCTTCATCGTGGAGGCCCTTCTGTTAGCAGTGGAGTGAGAAAGAAAATGCAGCGCTGCACCTTTACCGTTAAGATGGATGTATCATAGGACCGTAATTGATAGCTCAGACTATCAACTAAACAATGTTTATTTATTTTAAAAGGTAAGACCCACTGAGCCGTATAACTCTCTTTCAGAAGGGACCAGGCTGCGAATGATCGCTCAACGAAGTGGCTTATCGTGTGGAAATGTCTGGCAGGTAAATACTCTAAACGCGTGATGCTAATTATAAATGTGGAGGGAAAAACGGGAGGACCCGGAAAAATATCCACGCGACCACTTGGAGAACACGCAAACTCCAAATATACAGCAGGCGTCAGGGTCGGGATCGAACTCACGCCCTCCTGTATACCAGGCGAGGTAGTTAACATCTCGCCCCCCGTCGCAACATGTAGAAAGGTCCTCGTGGAGCAGTGGATAGACAATGGCAGCTCGTGATGATGAGAAATGCGAGAAGAAAAAAGTGAGACATTTAAAAAAACAGTCGGCACAAATTTAACACGTGGATTTTCGCGACCAAAATTATTCATGATAACGTTGTTTTGGGTTAGATCGCATGAATGTGTCGTTCATTTACCACCACTCGACGTGAACAAAATGTGTCAATGTGTCACTACTTCAGAGCAGCGGTGTGTTAAGATAGCAAACCTACAACATTTGCATGATTGCAAATGTTGTAGGTTTGCTCTCGAAATAGTAACACAATGGCACGTTTTATTCACGTGACAATCTCTCTTGCCTCCCCCTAATCCTCCTTCCCACTGATTGTCGCGATCCCTCACTCTCTTCTTTCCGTGTTGCTCTTTTTCCTCTCCGCTTCACGCCCTATCACTTTCTCCTCATCCCCTCTCCATTCCTCACGGTCTCCTCTATCTCCCTCCCTCACCTCCCTCCTCTACCTCTCTCCTGGAACACACTGCCGGGGTGAGTGAGAGTATAGAGCGTCACGTCATCGCGCATATGTGCGCAGTGACGTCACCAACACCGACGCGCACTTGTTCGCCAGCCAGACAGGAATCCAGGCAAGATGCCAGCAAACACAACTTTTTTTAATCATAGTATAATGACTCGTACAATCCGATTATGAGTAATAATTTACAGCCCTTTTGCAATCCACTGCGGATGAAGGCCTCCATAATGCTGTGTTGGTCATGGGGGTTGTTTGGCCATACTTCACCACACCGGTCAGTTGTGGATTTTCAGATTATTACTTCTCACTGATGTTAGTCATAGCCAGGAATCAAACTCAGTCCACCGGGTTCTCAACGCAGTGTGTGACCCACTCTGCCTCCATTCCATCTATGAAATATATATGTTCAGTATGTGAAAGTATACATATATTTTGATTGAAAGCTTTCGTGACTGCAGGGATTCATATTCTTGGTTCTTTCGGTAAAGTCACGTAGAAGGGAAACAATAAAATAATACAACCATAAAACAATAACATTCTCACGATGTTTCGACTGCAACACAAGCAATCATCATCACTTCACCACACCGGTCAGTTGTGGATTTTCAGATTATTACTTCTCACTGATGTTACTCATAGCCAGGAATCAAACTCAGTCCACCGGGTTCTCAACGCAGTGTGTGACCCACTCTGCCTCCATTCCATCTATGAAATATATATGTTCAGTATGTGAAAGTATACATATATTTTGATTTAAAGCTTTCGTGACTGCAGGGATTCATATTCTTGGTTCTTTCGGTAAAGTCACGTAGAAGGGAAACAATAAAATAATACAAATATAAAACAATAAAATTCTCACGATGTTTCGACTGCAACACAAGCAATCATCATCAGGTGTGAAAACCACGGCAAGAAAGTTTGAAAAAAGTGGCGGGTTTTTTAACGTTTGCACCACGGAGAGCGATTTGGCAGTTATTCAGATGGACGAGTCCATCTATGTTCGGAAAAGAGGAGGGGGGAGACGAAAATAATGGATGCGGTCTGAAAACCACCGTAAGCGTGAACAATCAATTAAGACCCGAAATGGTTTATCAAATCCTTCCAATGATTGCTAAGCCAGAATCCATCTTCTCGGTTGAAATTGTCTCTGTTTGTATATGTGGATAGCCTCATGAACGAATCGCTCATGGTAGCTAGATGGCTTGCAGAGAACCTCTGTCTTGGAGAAGTCAATGTCATGTGAGCCTACTGAATTATAACAGTGATCTGCCACGGCCGAGGTGTTGGTCCTACCGTGTTTTAGGTCTGCTTTGTGTTCACGGATGCGGTCTGAGACATGCCGTTTGGTTTCTCCAATGTAACTACTACCACAGAGGCAACTTAGTTTGTAGACGCCAGGGTACTGTATGTCCGGAATCACATCTTTTACAGACGGAACCAGATCACGGATTTTATTTAATGTGTTGAATCGGACCTGGATCTTGTATTTATTCAAGATTTTGGAGATCTTTTTTGTGATCCCCGCAATGTAGAGTAAAGTGATGGTTTTGAATGGCTCACAAGAGGGTCCTACTTCATGGTTGGAGTGATAACTTTGGGGATTGTGTAGTCGGAGTAACAATTAGCCTTTTATTTTATTGTTTTCCTTCTACGTGACTTTACCGAAAGAACCAAGAATATACATATATTATTGAATGCATTGTAATTCACACAATATTAATCTGAACATATTTAACCTGATTCTTGGGGACACCGACAATTCAAGGTGTGAGCTATCCATTACCAATTGATTCATTTACAATAAAACTATTATAAGAATCTTTATCATACAGGAATCCAATGAACAATGCAGCTCTTTTTCACAAATGTCCAGTAGAGGCGAGTCAGCAAGTCAAAACAACAATATTCCCCCCAAAAGCACGTAACAATACATGTAAGATACCCCCTGAATACAGCAGCACTACCTTGCAAAGTACGTCACATTTGGCAGAGCCAAGAGAATATTCACTTCTAAAATTGAGTTCGACGAGTGTTCTCACATCTATTCTTTGTCTCTCCAAATTCCACATTCGTGGCTCCAGTACTGGTTATGGAGCCGCGTTTGGCACACCTGTGCGAAGATTTGCGTCTGTGTGAATTGACGAAATCTGAACCCCCCCCCCCCCCCCGTGCACCTGATCCCTCAAGAAATGTAAGGCACGTTCCCAAGGCTCATCTGACAAAACTAAAACACTCACTTCTGTAAATACCGTGTCGTCAAGACTCATTGTAAACCCAGAGTTGTTTTTTTGTTCATGTTGTGTTAGACTCCCTTTGATTTGCTCCTTTGATCTTAAGGCATGCATGCCAGTCGAATGCGAAGAATATAATTCAAAGAAAATATACACTTTACATTACGTCAACGTATGCGCACCACGTACGCCATCTGCTGGCACTGTTGTGCCACGGGTAAAACGCTGACCATGCAGTACTCTGCAGTGTTTGTAAAAGTCTATAACGTCTTAGAACTCAAATCTGATTTGTTTTACACTCCAGCTTTAGGCACACAAAATCAACATTGACAGCTATCATGTTATTTTAATACGTAGAAATAATCACGTTTTCAGATATCCGTAAAATTACAAAAAGGCTTTGAGAGTTACTCATTGGTTCTTTCGGTAAAGTCACGTAGAAAATAAAATAATAATATAATACGACGTTTCGATTGCAACACAAGCAACCATCATCAGGTAAAAATGAATGAGAACAAACAAACATAGTAACTGCAGGAATCCATACTCTTTGGCTCTTACGGTAAAGTCACGTAGGTATAAAATAAAATAAATCACGACGTTTCGGGCGCAACACAAGCGCCCGTCATCAGGTGACATAGTAAACTTCGAAACACAACGCAACACAACACAGAGAGCCGGCCAACACAGCAGCCAACACCCCACCTGGCTGCTGACCACGCTCCTCCAAGGAATGTTCTGTTGGCTGGCTTTCTGTGTTGTATTGCATTGTGCTTCTAAGTTTACTGTTTGTTTTTTCTCATTCATTCTTACCTGATGATGGTTGCTTGTGTTGCAATCGAAACGTCGTATTCTATTATTATCTGATTTTATTTTCTACGCGACTTTACCGAAAGAACCAAAGAGTAATTCCTGCAGTCACGAAAGCTTGGAACCTGAGAGTTATGATGGTGGTGAATCATTAAATTGCCTTATTTCTA